ACTAATGGCCAGCAATTGATTGTCGCCGTAATTGACAGCCGATTATGGCTTTGGTTGAGGCGATCACTTGTCCACCGGTTTTCTCGTAATAACAGAATTCAAACAATAAATATTATTCCAATTGAATTCAATCATTCAATTTTACCATAATACATTTTAACCACAATTCATTTATGTAAAATATGATTAATTGAATTATTCGACCCCTCTCTAAAAACATTTATTTAAATTATCTTAATGTTGCTTTTTCATATTGTTAATAATATTATTTTTGTTGTTCAATTATAAAATACAAAAATTTGTGTCACTATTAACAAAAGTAGTATTTTATGACAAAAAATTAATCGAAATGTTATTTAAATAATAAAATGAATTTAGTTCATATTAAATGGAAGGCCAGTTTGGCCTAGATGTCGACCATGGCCAGCTATTAGAGCCCCACAAGCTACATTTTGATCATAATAACGCGAGTAAACTTCGGGCCGGGACTGGGGGTGAAGAGAGTAATGCTATACCCGGGAAGCGGTGGCGCTATATGCCGAAGATATCGGACTCATTGAACTGAACACTGCGCTGGACTTCACGGCCCCGAAGGGCTCACACTATCGGCCGGTAAACAGCGTTTGTCTCCCGAAAGCAGACATTTATAACACCGACAAAGAGTACGCACTGATGGCCGGCTTCGATCGCGATGGCACTCATTCTAGTGATTATCTAAACATGGGTTGGATTAGGATTAGGCAGGCATTTATCATATGAGACATAATTGAGTGAATAAATGAAAATAATAATTCCAGTGTATTATAACAAAGTTGAAAATGTTTTTTAAATCAATACACAATATGAAAGAGTTTATCGCATTCTAAGGTATATCCTATTCATCAAATATAACACTGAATACATTGACCACAAGTTTAAATTAGTAAATACTTGTAAATGCATAAGTTGTTAATATAAACTCATTCATTGACTAATGGTATATACCTTACTATGCGATAAAGTCTTTCATATATCAGTCTTATAGTTTTTAACTTATAAATTATAAGTTTTAAACTATGCATAAGTTTTTAATCATTAATGTAAAAAAAATTATACTCAATCTGAATATTTTTGCAACACATGATCATTCACTTCACTGAAAGCGTTCACAAATAGCAAAACAATTGTCGCAAAATTAGTGCATATAATGGTTGGCCTGAATTGTGAGCGCTTTGTGGACCAACTGTTGGCCAAAGAACTCAAATGCGGTATTTGTTTGGATGTGGTCTCAGAGGCGGTCGACACTCAATGCCGGCACACCTTTTGCTACCAATGTCTCAACCAATGGCTGTGTGGGTCGAGTGGCGGCCAAATGTGTCCGCAATGTCGGCGCCGATTGACCGACGATTGGAGGACCAGTTCGGGAGACAATGAGCTGATAATCGGTGGCCGAGTTTTGGTCGACAAGAATCGCAAAGTAAACGCAATTGTGGGCAAAATGACCATCAAATGTGACTACGAGTGGAACGGCTGCCCACATGTCTGCCCACTGGACTCGCTATCCGCACACATCAAGACCTGCGCCCACCGGTTGTGTCCGACATGCGGTCTCTCAACGGCTGGTCAGACACCGGATGGCCATAACTGTGTTCAAGAGCTGCGCAAAGACCGGATCCGATATCTCCAGAAATACAAAGCGCTAAAAAGTGAATGCATTTCATTGCGATCGGCGACCGAAGAGTTGGCCAAACAACTGATCCAATCGGAAGAGTTGTGCCGGGATTTGGCCACTGAATGTGCGTCCAGAGCGGGTCCAGAGGTTAAGCCCCGGGCCATGGGTTACAATACCATTGCCAGACCTGTTTGTACGTACAGTCATCCAAACCCACCGCCGCTGCCGTTCATCACCGAGAACTCGATGGTCCGCTTCGGCACCTTTCAGACAGTTGTCCACCGCTTAGTGATCACCGAATGGTCTGTTCGGCTGCTGAAGGTATCGCCGATGAGAGACGAGACCCCGATATTCGCCGAAATGGTCTTATTGTATGGCTTGACTCAGGAGTTGTTGGTTTGTCCCGACCCGGCCTTAACCATACTGTGTCTGCGACCCAAGCATTCAATGGCCGACAATATTAATGATAAATTGTTTTATATTTCGCCCAATAATTATCAAATGAACATCAATTCAAAGGGTTTGTCATATATTTTGTTTGCGATTAGTTATATAATTATCTCATGACGTCTTGTGTCCAAACAGATCCGATCCACAAGAATATAGTTATCCTAATACACGACAATATGTCCGCATCGGTGGCCAACCGACTGATGGAGTGCTACGCGAGGATCACCAGTGGATCCATGTTTAAGATCATCGACAGACAGGCGGCCCAACAGTTACTCTATGGCGATATTTAGGGGCAATTGCTTTGGCCCGGGAGGCGAAGGAAAAGCCAATAGTTGTTAAGCTAATTGTTTTATTGACATTATAGTAATTCTAATATAATATCTTATTTTTACAATAGATGTTAGTTTTTGTTAATTGCATTTATTTTAATATACAATTTTTGACAATTTATACAAATAATATGATAGTAAACTGAATTTATTAACAATACAATTAATATTTAAAATGATAAAAATTAATTTAATAAATAAAAGTGGTATTTAGGGCTTACAAAAAACAATATTGCATGTTTACTCATTCACTAAATTAATTAATTAAATTCAAAAATAACCTGTAATAAATTTGGAAAATTGTTAATGAAATTTAAATTACCTCGAGAGAGAGAGAGAGAGAGAGAGAGAGAGAGAGAG